GCGCACGTCCTGCGCTGACGTGTGCTCGGGGAGGGATGGATGGGTCCGGCGTGGCCCTGGGGGCTCCCGCCAGCGCTGCCTTCTGGGGGCTCCTGGCGCCTTTCCCTGGGAGGCTCTGTGTAGTCTGCAAGTGTTTATGGGGACCAGATGGTGCCGCGGGGTGAGGGTGACCCCGACTGCGGGGTGTACGGGGCACAGGTCACCTTCACACCTTCTTCCCAGTGTGTTTGTAATTGGGGACGGGGGTCTCTGCGTTTTGTAACGCGAGTGCTGCTGGGGAGAGGCCGGCGAGAGCGCGGGTGCTTGCTCCCCGCCGCGGCCCGGGGCTCCTGCCTGACCCCACCAGCCCCTCTCTGTCCCACAGCCCGGCCTGGCTCTCGCCCCGGGAGCTGGGCTCAGCTGTGCCCTCACCCTGGCTCCAGGTGTGACGCCACGAAAGGCTTTTTAAACCCTTCTTCCTTTGGTGAGTGACCCCAGCTTGGACGCTTGCTTCCGCCCGCTGGGAGGGCACAGAGCAGCCGTGCTTCGCGTCAGCTTGTACCTGGGGAGGGAGGGTAGATTGTCCCTCCCTTTCCCGCCCTGCTTCATTTCCCCCTCTGGCACCCAGGGATGCAGCTGCTTGAAGCTGCGTGTTTCGCACTGCCCTCATGCTGCCTTTTTATCCGCCCTCCTCCAGGATATTCGCAACACAGTGGGCAACATCCCCATGGAGTGGTACCAGGACTTTCCACACATCGGCTACGACCTGGAGGGCAAGAAGATCTACAAGCCCATCCGAAACAAGGATGAGCTGGACAAGTTCCTGGAGAAGATGGAGAACCCTGACTACTGGTGAGCAGGGAGGGGCACAGGGCAGTGTGCGATGTGCTGTGCCTCTTGCCCTTCTGCGAGGCGTGCGCTCAGCCCCTGAAGTGCATGCGTCCACACGTGTGCTGATGGGGACTGAGAACACCCCGACTCTCCGGGAGCCCTGTGCAGAGCACAGGCTAGAGACCTTGAGGTCTCCTGATGGGACTGCTGGCGCTGGGCGGCTTTGGGAGCCCAGGGCCTCAGGGTAGTGGGGCTCATGTTCACCTTCAAGGGACGGACGCTGCAGTCCAGCCCTAGCTCTGTCTCGTTTGGTTCCCTTCAGGCGAACGGTCCAGGACAAGATGACCGGTGCAGACATAAAGCTGACGGACGAACAGGTGGACCTGGTGCATCGGCTCCAGAAAGGGCAGTTTGGGGACGTCCACTTCGATCCCTACGAGGTAGGGCTGTGGCATGCCCTCTGCAGTGGCTCCTAGCACTGGCTTTCCCCAGAAAAGAAGCTGGGGCAGCGCAGTTGCTACAGCCACCCGGATCTGTGTCTCCCCAGCCGGCTATTGACTTCTTCAGCCACGAGGTCATGATCCACCCTGTGACAAATCGCCCAGCAGACAAGCGGAGCTTCATCCCCTCCCTTATCGAGAAGGAGAAGGTGAGAGGTCTGGTGGCATCTCGGGTGGGCTGGCCTAGAGGAGCTTGGGGCACAAAGCCAAGCTCCAGGCCTGTGCCTGAAGTCCCCAGGTGGGCAGCAGCACTGAAGGCTGGTGATTGCCTCCCCGTCTCAGGCCTGTCTAGCTGTCTATCTTATCCATGCTGTGGCCCACCCACATCCACCGCCATCCCCATGGTGCCTCTTCCTGCTGCAGCAGTTCTTGTGCGTGTATAAAGCTGTGCTCAGGCCTCTGCAGCCCCCACGCTGGGCCCCCAGGCCTGCAGAGCTGTGCGCTGCCTCGGAGGCATTAGTATCCCTCCTCACATCGCACACATCCTGCTCCCTAAGCTCACAGAGTGCTGTGGCTCCCGGGGTTGACCTGTCCCTGCCCCACAGGTCTCCAAGCTAGTGCATGCCATCAAGATGGGCTGGATCAAGCCACGCAAGCCCAAGGAGGACACACCTACCTACTATGACCTCTGGGCCCACGAGGATCCCAACTCCATCTTGGGCCGGCACAAGATGCATGTCCCAGCCCCCAAGATGAAGCTGCCTGGGCATGAGGAGTCCTACAACCCACCACCCGAGTACCTGCTCAGCGAGGAGGAGGTATGGGGCGGGCTGTGAGGGGTCAGGAGCTGGTGGAGGAAAGCAGTGGGCATATAGGGAGTTCAGCAGAACTCTGTGCTGCCTGCGGTGCCCTGTGTGCTGGGAGATGGGGAAATGCTGCATCTCAGAGGGGCATCAGAAAGACAGCATGAAAATTGCCATTATGTCAAGGTGAGTCGAGACCTTGCGAAGAAATTAAAGCAAAGGTTCTTCAGCCCCTGGGGTACAAAGAGAAGTGGGGCTGCCTCGCAGCGAAGCGGGCATCAAGGTAGACAGCAAGGTACAGCCTCCAAACTAAACTAGTACTGGGTGTCACTAGTGAGGAAGGTCACCCGGAAATGGGGTGAGTGGCCAGAGCCCGGGGGAAGGAGAAGCTGCACTCCCTGCAGCCTGGCAAGAGGGGATTTCAGAGCTCAGAGAGCAGGGATGGGAAATTGCGGGTTCGGTGGCCAGGCTCACGATCATCTTGTGAGCTGGGAGGGTGCCAGGAGACTAAGCAGCAGTGCAAGCAGGGCCCCTGCTCAAGTTGGGAAGGAAACGCGTGATGTGGGGGATCTGGGCAGTTGCCAACTTGTTGGTCCAACCTGAAGGGCTTTCCGTGGGCAAAACAGACCCTGAGAAGAGCATTATGGAAGGCGAGAGAAAGCATGGTCCTCAGAGAGAACCACAGTCCGTTGGGGAGTCCCAAGTACCTGAGAAAGGTGAATGGGACCGTAGTGAGCTCGGGCAGGAGAGGGAAGCAGGGGTGTCCTTGTGCCATGCTGCCGAGACCTCGCCTAGGTATGTTCCTGGCTCACTGCCTTGAGAGACATGTTCAGGCTGGAGCAGGGGCTGCACAGGGTCACCAGGAAGGGGACAGGGCACCGGTCTTGGTGAGAAAACCCAGGAAGGCTGAGGAGGGCCTGGCTAGAGACAGACATGGAGGTGCTATGGGCAGAGGGGTAAGCGTGGTGTGACGGTTCCTGTCTCGCAGACTGGCGCGATCCTGACGCCACTTCCGAGGGAGGAGTGGGGCAGGTGGGAAACCAGCTGCAGGATGTTCTCACTTGGCTCAGGAGGGGGATGCGCTGGGGCTGGGGGGCGGCAGGACCTGGCCGTCCAGGAGGGTCCGTCCAGACCTGGCCGTGCTGGGGAGC